GAAGGGCTTTACTCAGGTACCAGGTCGTGATTTTGGTGCTACATTTGCCCCCGTGGCAAAATTGACTACTGTTCGGTTGATTATTTCTCTGGCTGCGGAGTACTCTTGGCCTCTTCATCAATTAGATGTGAAGAATGCGTTTCTTCACGGTGATCTGGACGAGATTATTTATATGGATGCACCACCGGGCTTTCGTGGCGAGGGGGAGTATGCTGGAAAGGTATGTCGACTGCGTAAGTCTCTTTATGGACTGAAACAGTCGCCACGAGCCTGGTTCTCTCGCTTCAGTGATGTAGTCATACGATTGGGGTTCACCAGGTGTCATTCTGATCATACCTGCTTTATTCGACGGAATACTTCTGGACAGTGTGTCATCCTTCTGGTATATGTTGATGATATTATTATTACTGGTGATGATATTTCTGGGACTGCGCAGGTCAAGATAGACCTTGGGAAGGCCTTCGATGTGAAGGATCTTGGATTTCTGCGATACTTTCTTGGGATTGAGGTTGCTCGTAGAAGCAGAGGTATTGTTCTTTCTCAGAGAAAGTATGTTTTGGATCTTCTTTCAGACACTGGGATGTTGGGGTGCAAACCGGCATCATCACCCATGATTCCAAACCTGAAGCTTACTGCTGAAGGTGAGGAGTTGAAAGATCCGACAGTTTATCAAAGATTGGTAGGTAGACTTATCTACTTAGCCAATACTAGGCCGGACATTTCATTCGCAGTCAGCCGAGTTAGTCAGTTCATGCATAGGCCATGTCAGCCTCATCTTGATGCAGTTTATCATATTCTTCGGTACCTCAAGTCTTGTCCTGGACTTGGGTTGTTTTATGCATCAGGATCTCAGACCGGTTCTCTAGCCTGTTATTCAGATTCAGATTATGGGGGAGCATGTGATGGTCGATCTACTACGGGTTTCTGTGCTTTTCGAGGGACTCATCTTATCTCTTGGAAGAGCAAGAAGCAGGCAGTTGTCTCCCGCTCGTCCGCAGAGGCAGAGTATCGGGCATTGGCACTTGGCACATGTGAGATTATCTGGCTACGATCGATTCTTGACGAGTTGGGTTTTTCAGTGACCTCTCCATCCACATTATATTGTGATAATTAATCTGCTATTCAGCTCGCTTCTGACTCTGTACTACATGAGAGAACGAAGCATATAGAGATCGATGTTCACTTTCTTCGGGAGAAGGTCAGCAGTGGTCTTGTTACTCCATCGTTTGTGGGGACCAGTGATCAAGTTGCGGATGTTTTTACCAAACCTGTCACTCTGTCTATTCTTCGGGACTCCGTTGTCAAGCTTGGCTTAATTGACATTTTTGCGCCTAGCTTGAGGGGGAGTGTTGGAGTATAGATAGTCTAGTTTATTAGGATTTCTTTTTCCTTTTTTACCCTTACTATGATTTTTATATTTTGCCTAAACTACAAGGATGTTTAAGTCACTCTGTATTATTTTTGGATATATATACGGGGCTCTACTCTTAATTTGAGTATCCCTTTCACTTACGTTTATTCCAAGTGTTACTATTGACGTGATATTTTTTGATCAAATTAATAGTTTTAGGGAATAGTTCAAGTAGTAATAAAAATAAATTGTAAATTTAAATATCCTGAGTTTGAATATTAATAATCAATTGGAACCAGACTCATGAATACTTTAGTCTTGGCGTGGATATCTTGCCTTTGACTGAACCGTAAATGAGATTAATTGAAATGGACGTAAAATAGCTCAAACACTCCTGACCGTTGAATAAAAAAAAAAACATGTTAATTGCTGCTATCAATTGGGTTGGAGAAGTTTGGAAAGACTCTCCTCTAAAAATACTTGTTGATAGACAGAAGATAACAAGGTTTGAAGCGTGGGTTTTGGAGGCGCTGAAACAGCAGGGTAAAGATTTTGCCAAGAGGAGTGATAAGTCAAAGCTATTATTGTCGTTGAGGAATGGAGCGGCTGTGTTATGAATGAGCACGATAATAGATCATAAAAGAGGGGCCTTTGGAGTAGTCTTTCGAGACAGTGAAGGAATCTTGATACAAGGAAGTGCAGGTAAGCTTGCTGCAAACTCAGCTTTAATAGTGGAAGCATGTGCCATTAGACTGGCATGTTGTATAGCCATAGCTGTAGGGTACCCTTCACTAATAGTGGAGTCAGACTCAAAAGCATGTGTTGATGCTTTGAATAATGGTAATAATTGTTTTTTGAGGGTGATTAAGGCTATCCAGAGAGATATTTGGGAATACGTACATTTGATTTCTAAGATTGAAATACATTATGTGAGTAAAAAAAGCAATAAAATTGCACCTTGGGTTGCAAAACAAAAAAATAGAGATATGCTTTCTCCTGGTTAAATGTGTTGGCCTACTGAGATTTTGGAAAGGATGTATGAAAAGGAAGCACGTGAGGGAGTAGGATGATTTTGGCTCATGTGTTTTACTTTACTGTAGGTGCTTTCTTTTGATATTTGTTTTTTTGTTAAAGTAGTCTGTAATTACATTGATTCTTGTAAATTTCATTCTTTTCAAGTAATAGAAATATAATTTGATTGACTTAAAAAAAAATAAAAAATTGTGCCATGACTAAGAATCAAGATTTCATTTTGGTGAGATTGAAAACGGAAACGTTTTGATAATATTTTGAAAATATTTCTGAAAGAAGATAAAAATAAAAAAAATTAAAAATTTATTTTTGAAGTATTGGTCGATACATATGTTGAAACACACCAAACCACCACGAAATATAAGAATTTTGATATCAATCAAAGATTTTTTTTGATTTTTATGAAAATAGAAATATTTTGAGCATTCAAAATGAACTTTAATTCTTTCGTCATGACTCGATGTGCTCAATATTTCACATTTCTCTCATATAATTAAGTTCTCAGGTTTTATTAAGGGGTTTTAAGTCAAATAGTACTCTTTATCTTGTAAAAACTTTATCTTCTTAAGGTCAAAATCCCCCTCCCCCTTCCCCCAAAAAAAAAAAAAGTTCTCAAGTCTCTATCCTTGCACAATTTTCTGATACTTTCTAGAGGGGGGAAAGTCTAAGCAACTAGATGATGCAATTGATGGGATCACTTGTGAATATACAAGACCAAAAACACGGCCAAGAGGGTGCCCAAAATTTTTCCAGCGCAGTCCATCCCATATTTAAGTGAATGAATGGTGTAGAGATATAGCATAAGGACAAATATCAAAATATGACACGAATTGTTAATACGCCAAAAATATAATATAAGGGTTTTGGTCTTTTTTAAACTACCGGTTTAGTAAATAAGTGGACCCGACACCATACGATTAATAAAAAAATCGAGTATAGATAAAACCAATTATAAGAAATATAAGATATGACTTGTTTATATACTAGTTATACACAGTTCATAAACGACACGAATCATTGACCAAAAATAAATAAATAAAAGGCACGAATCCGATAAGATATAATTTGTTAGACACAAATCAATAAAAAAATTGAGTATGAGTGAAATATTTTTTAACACAAACCTGTTAAAACTCGACACAAACCTATTTCACCTGACATATTTGATGGGCGTAAACATAACGATATCCTAAAAAGTGGGCCTAGATTTTGTTTGTGTTTGCCTTAATAATGCTATCCTAAACTCTAAATTAGAAAAACCGATAACGCAAAATTTGTGTTATTAGGGGATTAAGAATGAAATTACAAATGATACACCTATCTTTTGTTCGACATTTAGCTGAAAAATGTCGAAACACTGTTAGCTCCAAGGAGGTGAGGAAGTGGTAAAGGTTCACTTCCTTCTGCAGGTGATTGCATGTTTCAATCTCATCCCCCTTTCCCCCCAAAACCTATTAGCTTCTAAATTAGGAGCTGCCTATTAAGTTAGCTTATGATCATGTAGGTCCTAGTTATTATCTCCAGTATCTGCTTTGATTCATGTTGCTATGGTAACAACCGGCGTTTTCATGATAACAAGGTACTCCCCTTTATTTGAATACCTCCTACGACTCTAATTATTATTATGTCATTCTTAGCGGGAGTTATGATGTCATTCTTTGAGGCAACCATTGAAATATTATAGAACAATCTAAAGAGAGTCATAACTTATTCTCCTATTCATGTTAGCCATGTGTAATTTTTATTTTTTATTGCTCCCAACTGTTAGGTTCCTGTTCTTTCCATTCTATATTGGAGGTTTCGGTCACCAAAGAGATACACAGTTGTTTGGCCATTGCATGTCCTTGTGTAGCTTTCTTATGGTTTTTCGATACGGAAGGTTAGGTTACTAAATTGACGACTACTCTTTACCGATTAGCCCTATCTTGTGTTGCTGCATTTCTATGTAAAAATTAATAAAAAAACTAGTTATATGTCTATCTAAATTAAATATTATCTCAAATTTATTAAACTTAATTTTTTATTAATCATATTTTATTATAAGATTATAAAAACTTTGTATATTTGCATAATTATTTGTTCTAACTATAAGAAAAAAAGATAAAAAAAGAAATAGTTAAAGTTTTATTTTTTTTAGAATTTTATAATCATGTTCCTATAGTATTAACGAATCGTATTATATTTTGGTACCCTAACACGACGAGAAATTATTCATTACAACGGTGATGTCACATCACATGACAATGTAATATTGTATTACCAACTAATAATACTACAACAAATAAATAAATGAACCCCACAAAAATTAATAACTAGTCTGTCATATAAACAATTAACTCTTCACTCTTCTGCCATATAAGTTTAAGTTGAGTTCATCTTATCCATTTAGGGTTTTATTATTAATTAGTAATACCATGTCATCAATAGTGACATGATATTAGTGTTGTATTCAATATTTGAGAGAGAGAGAGAGAGAGAGAGAGAGAGAGAGAGAGAGAGAGAGAGAGAGAGAGAGAGAGAGCATATTTAGCTAAACTTTATTATACACAAAACAACATTGGGTCTTTTTTAATAAAGGAGAGTTCATAGTACATAAACAATTAACTTCACACAGGAATTAAAAGTCATTATGCTTAAGTTTTTCAGTAAAATCTTCATCTTCACCCTTTAAAGCAGTGAATAGTGCAGGCGACGACTCGGTACTGCACTGAGCCGAATCGCCCTCGGGGCAGTGAGCCCAAAAATATCATTCATGTCAAGCTCACTAGCCTTCATTCCATTAGGTAACTCCCAAGTAAAACAATGGCAAAGGTGAGCCACTGTCAGCTCCAATGCATAGAGCCCCAGTTGCATTCCCGGGCAGGATCTTCTACCCGACCCGAATGGTATGAACTCAAAGTTGCTTCCTTTGAAATCTGGTGCACCATTGTTGAGAAACCTAGAAGGCTTGAACGTGTCAGCATCCTTCCATGCAGTTTGGTCACGGCCAATGGCCCATGCATTGATCATAACGCGTGATTTCGCGGGTATTTTGTATCCGTTGACCACACTGTCCTCTGCAGTCTCGTGGAGGAGCAGAGGGATTGGAGGATGAAGACGAAGAATCTCTTTAATAACGCATTTGAGGTACGTGAGTTTCTCAAGATCTGACTCGTGAACGGGGCGGTCAAAGCCTACAACGTTCTCAAGTTCTTGTTGTACCCTCTTTAGGTCTTCTCTGCTCTTCATAAGCTCAGCCATGGCCCATTCGATTGCTGATGCCACAGTTTCAGTTCCACCAAACATCACATCCTATAAAAAATTGGCAATTTGATGAAGAAAAAGGAAAACTAATACATATTATGCAAGAAATCTTTTTCTTATAGCTTTTTTCTTCTTTATTTTTTAAATGACGTGTGTACATGTTCAAAATAAACAAGTACGTGAGAGGTGTTTAAGTCAACTTATATACACTTTGAGTAATTCTCTTTCTAATTTTATCAAAAACAGGTCCTTCGTATCGGGACTGGTATATTGACTGGTTCTACGTTCAAAGGTGGAGATATACACGACAGTAAGACCCAAGAAAAAGATGGGATTCAGGCTGAGTTAGATAAGCTTCTCTCGCTTCCCATAAATTAATTGTCAAGTTGGATAAAGGGGAGATTCATGCAAAGTTGTACTATCCACAAACAGTAAATCATTTTTTTCCTTTTGTTTAACGTTATTACAACCTTTTTTATAGCAGATGACAAATGTCTTAATTAACATGTTTGCTTATCCAGACAAATAAAAAGGTATCAGACTGAAAAACAAACAAAATTCATACCATATTTGCTTGTATATTAAAATCCTCAATTAAATTCAACAAAGTCTTTATTTCCATTAATTGAGGCCAACTATATTAATTTTGTTTTATATATCCGTTAAATTATAAATTATTATATCGTTTGTCAATATTTCATTAGCTTTCGGCCTACTTTTAACAATCCTATTATTATCGATTTATATCAAATCACCTTTATTCATTGGACATGGGTCTGATTGTATAAAAAAATAATAATTCAATAAGTAGATTTATAGTTTTTGAGCGTCATACCATTATGAGAGCTTTGATGTTGTCTCTGGTGACCTTAAGTGAGTCCTCCGAGTCATTTTTCAAGTCATCTTCGCTGTAAAACGCTAGTAATTCGTCCACCATATCAGTATCAATTTCAGTGTCATTTGCATCGCTATTGTTCTTCTTCTTCTCCATGTGTTCATCGATAATCTTGTCGATGAACCCATCCAGCGAATTTCGAGCATTCGCTAGCCTCTTATTGAATTCTCCTCCTTGGATCCAACCCAAGGAGGGAATAAAATCAGCGATATTAAATGCTCCAAAAAGTTTTGAAAATTCTTGCAAAATCTTAATGAATTCATCTTGTCCTTCATTTGACATTGAACCAAACGCGGACCTATACGTTATGTTCTTCGTCAGCCCAAACACGAGCTCACCGATATTCACTGGTGACCCTACCTGACCCGCAATGGTTCGAATCGCAGAATCAATCTCTTCACGTACTGATGCCCAAGACTCGGCCCGTCTTCGACTGAACACCTTCATGACACAGATTTTACGCATTTGACGCCAAAACGGACCGTAGTGAGCAAAGGCCATGTCAGCCCGGTCATATGTCAAGTAGCTTATGGCGATGGTAGCGGGTCGATTTGAGAACACGTGGTCTTGAGCTTGGAGGACTTCACGGGCCACGTCCGGCGACGATACGGCGAACATGTGTAATGATCCCATTTTCAGGTGACAAAGTCCGCCGTACTTCTTGGCCAACGCCGCTAGACCCCGGTGAGTTAGTTGGTCCATCATGAACATGTTTCCGATCACTGGCCAGCCCTTCGGGCCTGGTGGGTATGGAAGTTTTCGCCGGAGTTTGGCTAAGAAAATAGTGATGAATAAGAGAGGAACAACAAAAATGAAGAACGTGGACATTGGTTGAAGAGATTCAACAGAAGTGCACATGGCTGTGTGTGTCTCTGTGTGTAGAATTGGTGTTGTAGTTGGTGTGTTTATGAATAGTTCGATATGGTGGATATATATAGGGGTTGAATCGGTTGATAAGCATTTGTACAGTTCAAATGGATTATATAAGAGTAAATCTCATTTTGTCCCAAAAAGATAGAAAAAATCTCAATTTAGCCCTTAAGTGATTAATTTCTTCACATTGCAAATAAATAAAAACGTTACAATGTGGTTCATTATCTTATTTTTATTTGGTCTTTCGTCTTTTTTGTGGTTTATGAAAGGTTGATTTTACACAAAATAGATGGACAACCAAACAAAAATAAGACAATTGACTACATTATAACGTTCTTATTTTTTTGAGTTGGCAATATAAAAAATTTAATCATTCGAAAGGCAAACTAAATTTTTTTATATATTTCGAGGGGTAAAATATGATTTTTCCATTACATAAATGGGAAAAAACTATAATTATTTTGAGTGTTTATGTGAGAAGAATAAACCATTAATAAACGGGGCTACAGGAGTGGAGTGGAGTAAGGAATTAAATAAAAAAAAAAAGAAGGTGAATTTACAACTGGGCAAATAGAAGGAAACAACTGGAATGACATCATGCCTATACATTTTTCCGGGTGAAATACAAAAATGGTCCAAAAGGTTTATGCTTATTACACTTTATTCCTTGAGGTTTCAAAAATTAAAGAAAGTCCCTTATGGTTTTTATTTCAACTTCCGATTGACCATTTTCTATGAGTAAACTCCAGTTTTTGTTGATGTCATTAATATTTTTCACAAAATAACTATTTATCCTGTTGAAACTTGAAATAAAAATTTTAATAATGTAAAAATAAAAAAGTAGGAAAAAAAATTAAATTTCTTCTCTCTCTCTCTCTCGGTTACTCTTATCCAAATCCAATCAACCCACTCCACCCAACAAAATCCATATCTCACCCCAAAGGGGTAGATTTATAGAGTGGGGTTGCGGGGAATGGAAAGGAGGCGGTTAAGGTTTCTCAAGGGGGATACTCTTGGAGAGATGAAATCATGAGACAATGTAGAAATAGAAGTTTTTGTGTTTATTTTGGACAAGATTTTTGTTTTTTTTTTATGAATAGATACAAAGAGATACATGTATATTTTAAACATATTTAATATTGTTTTGAGGTTTAAACTCATTTTTTTATGAATGCACATGAGGGATACATTATATTTAGCAATTCATGTGTGGGTTTGGTTTTTTGTCAAATTTCGATCAAAGGAAAAAATAGTATTCGAGGTTTTCTCATTAATCCTATATAGTTATCAATAGTCGAGAGAAGTTGACTATAAGGGCTTATTTGGTAAGTTGGATTGGGTGGAATATCTAGTTAGGATTGGATAAAATAAACCTAGAAGACTACAAATCTAATATTTAACAAATTTTTGTGATTAGATAATGAATTTAAGCCCACAACCATCATTATAAATAATCTTATCTATGTGGGTTATTGAAACTCACATGGGAGCATATTCAAATAGGTGGATTGATTAAAATTAAAATTACTAATTTGCTATTGTGTCAAAATCAAATATTTAATTAAAAAAAGATAATATTTGTCAAAAGGGACATCTTGACATTACATCACGATGACCATAAATTTTTTACCTATTCTACCATTTTCAAACATGGAATAGAATAAATATATGATACATAGTCCAATCCAAACTTATCCCATAAGTCATCTAGAGTTTAGAATGGTCATACCAAATCAATCAAATCTTTGAGTAGTAAAATAAATCAAACGACCCCAAGGACCGGTTGTTTCTTTGGAAAAAAAGGATTATTGGGTTGGATTGGATAAAAACAACTTGGGTCCCACACCTCTTATTTGTTTTTGGTAAAAAGACAATCGGATAAAAGAAGTCATTGAATTTACTCAAGCCTATTTAAAAAGTCCATGTAACACCATTGATCTTTATATTATAAACCCATTGGTGAGGTGGGATAAATTACTAGTACATTTTATATCAATGAGATATGATTGAAATTACATTATTACCCCCCCCCCACCAAAAAAAACAAAAAAAAGCCTTACCATCAAAGTAATGTGAATTGACTGGCCATTGCGGTGAGTTGGTGCATGGGGCACTTGACAAAACTAATACTCAAATGGAGGATTGAACATACAAGGAGACAGTTTCCCACCTTGTAGTCGGCCTTCAATTGAATTGGGTAGGACTTAAAATTCCAATTCAGTCCAATCTCAATTGTCTACCCAAAACATAATTAAGGGTAAATATTCAGGGGGATATATGTAATTTATCCTTCTATTTTTTCGGTTATTGGCCCACGGGGTGGAACCTTGACTTCCACGGACAACGCCAATTCACCAAGTGGTGACATCATACCTATACATTGACTCTACTAATTTTAATGATAAATCACATATCATTAATTTAAGGGTGAAATACACTTTGTATCCTAAAAGATTTTAAAATTTTTACTTTATATTCTCAAAGATTAAATTTTTATATTAAATCCTCAATATATCAAAAGTATTACAATGTGACCATTTTGTTAGTTTTTTGTTAGTGATAATGAGTTGAATTTTAATGAAAAAAAATAACGAAAGCCAATAGACGGCCACATTACGACATTTTTTAAACTTTAAAGGTACAATGTGATAAATTTAATTTTTGAACATATGAAATAGAAAGCGCAAAAAACCCTTAATTTAAACAATACCCACTTTTTATAAAGTGAGTCTCTGTTCATAAATACAAAATAATCTATCATTGAACCAGCAAAAAAAAAGTCTATGATTGAGACATAGATTATAAAAAGAAATTGTACGTGGTTGTCACTACTTAAAGCAGTAACACCTATTTGAAGTAAAACATTTATTAATTAATTAATGAGTTGTTACTCCTACCAATAACCACGGCTTGTTAACTCTATCATCAATTAAGCCATGTACTACTTTCAATGACGTGTTTAAGCTTCAAATGTCCCAATGCCGTTAGTTTCATGCAAGCAATATTTTTTTTATGAAATTGTTTTCTACCCTAGCGATAAGTTTTGTATTTTTTTCTTCCTTTAAGATGTCGTACCAACCCCGATCATTTACTCTACTCCGTGAGTTGAGGACACCACTTAACTTAGATGGTATTTTTTTTTTGGGTTTAGGGAAGCTGGTACCACATAAAAAATTTAATAAGATAAAAATATATTTTTTAAAATAATTGAGATAGAAATATATATATATATATAGAGACACACACACATGCCTAATACAGTAACACGCTTAACAACAAAATTGTAACATCAAACAGTGATACGCTCAACCAAAAAAGAGTAACATCAAACAGTAACACACGCAATAAAAAAATATTAACATCAAACAGTAACACACTCAACAAAAAAATAGTAACATCAAACAGTAATACAAATATTTTTGTTGAGCGTATCACTGTTGGATGTTACTCTTTTTTTGTTAAACGTGTCACTGTTTGATGTTACTATTTTTTTGTTGAACGTGTCACTGTTTGATATCACTGTATTACGTGTGTGTGTGTGTACAAACATACATACATATATAAAATTTCAAAATTTAAATAATACACAAATATCAAAAGGAATTTTAAAAGTCTCACATTCAAGTAGGTATGCACTATTTATGATATGGGTAATTATAAAATACATTTTAAAAAGAGTTTTAAAATATTTTAAAATGTGTACTTATTGATAACTATTTGATGAAAAAGATGACTTAAATGAGGATAAGTTTGGAAGTGGTATTTAAAGTCAAATAAGTTTTGAAAAAGGTACTCACATCCCATTATCTTTTTTTTTTTTTAGATTAATAGTATTTTTAGTTCTTAAAATATGTATTTTTGACAATTTAATCCTCATCTTATCAATTTTGTCAATTTGTTCTTTAAAGTATTCAATTCGTGTTATTTTAGTTTTTAATCAAACAATCCGTCAATTTTTTCAACAAAAATGACTAAATGTCATTTTTTTAGACGGTATCGCATGTCAGACACGTGATTATTCTGCTAAAAATTTAACGGTTCGTTTATGTAAGGACTAAGATAATACGAATTGAATATTTTAAAGATCAAATTAACAAAATTGATGCAATGAGAAATAAATTGACAAAAAATACATATTTTAAAGACCAAAAATACTATTAACTATTTTTTTAAAAATTGTTTGAAGAATTCTACTTGCGTTTCTATTTGTAAGCGGGAGTTTTTTGTAGGCTAAGGACACTCATATCACCTTGTCATGTAATGTCACTATTGTAATAAATATTTTCCCCTAACCTATACAGTGAATTCTTTCCAAAAACCTTTTATATACGTATGTGGCCCCAGTGAGTAGTTCAAGTGGTAACAAAAACGAATTGTAATATTAAATATCTTGAGTTCGAATCTTGATAATTTATTGGACTAGACTATTATTAGTTTATTTTTTATGAATACTTTAGTCTTGACATGAATGACTTATCTTTGACCAAATCAAAAAAAAAATTAGTTAAAGTGCGCGTAAACTGGTCCAGACACCCATGACCATTGAACTCAAAAAAAAAAAGTACAACTTTTAGATGAGTAATGTCACCGTATTCAATTTTTTTCATAATTTGTTAAACTGATCCGTCATTCCGCCAGATTAGTAAATTGTACCAACAAATTGAGTCTACATAGAATTGTTTTCGAAAAAATAAAAGACAAATCAATTTTGTTTTGAAGATAATATCTTAAAGGTGTTTTCAGGAGAAGCCGCAATGCGTAAACTACAATAATATATTAGTTTGTTTGTATGGTATGGCAGTATTGTCAGTTGCTGGTGAAGTTGCATAGTTTATTGATTAGGAAAAGTTTAGGTAAGAAGGAGATTTGTTATTCTTAGTCAACGGCCAACGAGGGGTACTCTAGCAATATTAAGCGCATCAAATTTGTGCACCAAATTATTGCCAATCATTGGATCAGTGAGATCCATATTATTATTCAACGGT